TGAAAAAAAAAAAAATCGACTAATTTGATGCATGAAAAATGCAAGTCATGTAGCAATGGGCTATGAAAAAAAAATGACAAGAGGCAAACTACAATATATCATGTATTCTGAGCAAATGTTTGGTTGCGAAGGCTTTATTTCAGCTACTCCAAACTGCATAAAAAATTTTCTCATTTTTTGTTCATTACTACTGGTAAACTATAAACATGGAATTTCAGTACTGTTTTACAGATAGCATTCAGTTGGCACATGAGTTTTTAAGTACCGGTACATGTAAAATGGTGAGATTATAACTTTCAAAAGTCTTTGAACAAAAACCACAAGGGCAAGGGTCTGGTTATAACAAAATGAAGAGTCACAATTTACAATACAGTTACATGTGTAGTCATATAATTACTGTGTTCATTACTACATAAGATACCATAATACCCAGTGGACGACTTATGTTTTGGGGTTTGTTTTTTGCATGTGCAAAAATACCTTTGTCGAACTATTAATTTTCCTCATTCCATCAATTCCTTTATGCCAATAATTTCATCAAAAAATAAATAAACCAAGTACTAACAATCCAAACACAAAATGAAACTCAAAATCCAAACAACATACTGACAAAGCATAGGTAGCAGTTAATGAACTTTTCTCATTATGAAGTATATCAATAAATCTCATGGTGATCATTAATTACTATAAAAGTACTTACTTGGATAATTTGAACATTTCTGATTCTGTATTTTGAGTAGTTTGTTTCTTAGCACTATCACCTCTACGACTAGTGGGGCTAACAGCTGGACTGAAAACACAAAAATACCTTAAATTATGATTTATATATAAAGTGCCAAACCAAATAAAGGAACTTACAAAAGATGATGGACTAAATAATGTACTTATTCATTTAATCACTTAAAAGCTGTTTTAAGACATGTAATAATTTCAAAATAATTCATTTGTCACTGTCCATATCATAGCTGTTGATTTTTTTTTTTTGTGAACTGGACATTTGATCTCAATTTCCCCTTGAGAGAAGATAGATATATTATACCAGTTTGACATGATGTTTGTCAAATTCAAAAAGAAAGGTAATTAAGGGATTATCAGGTTGGTTAAGTTATTCAAATGCCAAACACTGATTAATGGCTTTGTATTTCATTAGAGTTTTGCATTTAACAGACATTGAATGCCTAAACTTGATGTCAGATAGGATATTAATAGATAACAAAGAATTGGACCTATAGTTGCTTCAGAATTCTAAACAGACTTGTCATCTACCACCTAAACAGATTAACACCACAGCATTAAAATAGCAAAATTTTGACAGCATACTGTACATAATAATCTGTTGTTCTTGTTTGCAAAATAAATGACATACCTTGTTTTCTTTGGAGCGGCTTTTTTCCCATATTTATCATCATATTCAGATGGTATTGGATGTTCTCCTTTCAGTTTAGCTGGAGCTTGCTGGTCATGAGATTTCTTCATCTCTTCATGCCATTGTCTCTCATAGTCATAGGCTAAGATATGGTGCATCTGTGCAAGTTTATCACCCTCTGTTATTCTAAAATACACGATACTGTTTTAAGATATTATTGAGATACATAGCAATCTGCAATGTTTTGTACAATAAAAATGGAATCAAACACCTTATGGTATTGCATACCAGCTAATAAAGATTTACTAGTCCAATCAAATGATAAATAATCTTTCTTTCTCTCTGTATGTTTATATAAGACATTTTATTTCACAATTCAATGATCCTGGATGAATTCTCCAACAAATGATGTCATAAAAAGAGTCTTCCAGAGAAATATTTTTTATTCAAAAAGCAACCTACCGTCCATGATCTTTCATCATATTAGAACCATTTGGAGTTTTTGAAGTATGTTGCTGAACTTTTACTGGTTTACTGTTCCGCACACCAAACCCAGGTTGCCTGGCCTCTGGTATCTTCACTCTTTTATCAGTAACATCATTGCCTTCAGATTGAAATATAGTCTGTTTATCACATGCATACGGTACTCGACTTCCTTGTCTCCTTGATCCGTCAGGACTTGGACTAGTGCCCTCTACACATGAAGGGACATAACTGTCATAGACCATATATTCTGGTAATAAAAACTGATGTGGCCTGAAATATAAATAAGAATTTAACATCCAATATCCCAGGCCAGATGCACATCTTCTTTCTCATAGGGAGATAATTTCATGGACAAGACTAGAATTATATGACACAGGTTTAAATATTTGGATAGGTATAACATATTAGTGTTGCTATGGTAACTCAACTTACTTCTTTGGTTCCTGAATTGCAGCATCTTCTCTAGCATTATCTGCTAAATAAAACCAATCTACTTTAGGATATCCTTGAGGTTCTTTGTTTTCTGTCTGCTTATTGTCCTTGAATACCAACAAATCTGGCAAAAAGATTTAATTCAAAATTCTTATTTCTAAGCAATAATTCTATCACAATTAAGAAATCATCATAATGAAAAACAGTTTTTAGACAATGTATGAATATGACTTCGCAAATTGCCACACATACAAAATAAAATGTATTCTTTTTCAGTTGATGCAAGGTCAATGTAAGATCATCATACTACATTGGACTCACTGCACATAAAAATGTTCATAAATGTCTAAGAAAATAGTAAATTTCAGGTTATAAATAACTCTGAAAATTGAAACCGACAACTGAAATTGAGCTCTATCAGCTTGATATATAAATATGATCTATAGAGAGATCCATGTAAATATTGTAAACTTACCTTTACGACCACCTTGTTTTGATAATCTTATAAATTTACTGTCAGTATCTTTAAAATAAAGTCCCTGTGGTTGAGTAGGTTGGTCATCTTCATATTCACTCAAGCCAGGAATCTGTGAAATATATGGTGTAGGGGCTGGATCTGGTTTCTCTTCTCTTTTTGCTGGTGCATGATAAAACCATCCTTAAAATAAAAAATAACTTCAATAATCTACAACTGATTATTTTAAGTTGGTAAAAATATGATTCTACAGAGGGGATTCTTACGATCAGATTTGAGCTGATTTCATGTGTAGGGCCATTTCTATATAGATCTAGGACAAATGCCTACAGATGAAAGTTCCATATGAATATTTTTCTTTTTGAATAGCCTATTATAAAAAATAAGCCTATTATACAGTCAAGTAACCTAATTTCATGCCTCTCAATTTCTAACATACACAAAACGGCAGATTTGTTCCAAATGTCTTCTGCTAGAACATATTCATTTTCCAGAGTTCTAACAAAGTCACGTGACATGTCAGCAGAAAAATATTCTTATATCGTGAGTGACCGCTTGAAACCTTGTATAACGATATATGACGCCGAATTACCTTTCGAGAAAAAAACAAAAAACTATTTGTACGCATATTTTGTTAAAATCTTTATTATTTTTTTTTATCGCTATACGTGGTTTTCATTCTTTGAAAATATAAACCTCGTATAACAATTTGAAATCTCCGGCCTATTGTACCGAAAACTTGTATAATAATACAGTATACCGGTACGAGGTTTTTCATTTTCATCTGCAGAAAAGGAACATTGAACCTCGTATAATAATATATTTTACGAGGTTTTAAATCTGACTGTTTATAAACGTGTTATTTAATTAGTGCTTTTTGAGTTATTTACAATCAAGCAAACGGTACCAAAAATTCAAAATGACCAAATATGGCATATACGAGGTTTCAAGCTGTCACCCACGATATGCTGTTTTAATAATTTTTAGCAATAAATTACTCTTACATTTTTTCTATTTTATTTTGTGAGTCACCAAAAGTATTCTTTGAAGGAATTATCATAAGTTATAATTAATTTGATATTAAAGATAGTCTTAAGTTAAGAAATGATAATTAAGCTTATACTATTGGGAATCCATACATGTTTTTCTCAACTCATTTATAGATCAAACATTGTAAGCTTACACAAAAATAGGTGATGCATTTTGTAGCTGTGGTCGTTTTGGTTACTCATGAAATATGGGTCAAGGTAAGGGAATCATAAAGAAAATTGAAATAAACCAATTTTAATTATTCCCAAATTTTGACGAAATTCAATGTTGAATCCTTATATGCACAAATATAGATTACATCACTATATTTGTTTTAGTCTTGTAGTTGTATGTATTATAGTACAGAAAAAGTCACTGGTGACATAAGATTATACAAAATATAATTTTTTCATTGATTGGAATTTTCAATCCAAGTAAAATTTAAAACTCTCTGTGGTGTTTTGAGTTGATACTCACATTCATACAAAATCGATTCTGTAAACATTCATGCCTCATGGTGTACTGTACAAAGAAAAACTCACCGCATTCATTGATGTTTTTATTTGTAGCCATTTTGTAACTTGAAAACTTCGTAATAATCAACAAATTCCAAATGTCACTTTCAAAAAAATCATAACAAAATATACAACAAATCTTTTAGTTTTAACAGAACATTTGGTTAAAAATGTCAACAATCAACATGGCGTATGACAACGTCTCCATAGTTACAAAACCGGAAATTTCGCGTGCTTCCGGTTACTGGCTTAAACGGAAGTGAAATCGAAAGTAACACTATACACCTTTCTTTTGCAATTGACACTCCAATTTAATTTGTGTGAAGGAAATAAATCATAATGATACATTGACTAACAACGGTTATTTTACTTAAATCTTCCACAAATGAACTTTCAAGTATCTGTAGACTTAGTGTATTTTGCACTGACGTTTTTCAATTGTCTGAATGTAACATTATGTTTTGAGAAAAATATAGGCCTAAAAGAAAGCCATTTTGCTGTTGGTGAAACTATGGAATCATCCTGCAGCTCTAAGATAGACAGTGTAAAGAGTTGCCAGAAAGAAACGAAATCAAATGCATTGGCTGTAGTGCCATTTGATGACTCAACTCTGTTTCCTCATCAAAAGCTGGAGAGAAATTTCACATTTGTTGGTCATTCTTTCACCATCAAACAGAATTTTGGTAGTCTTGGTGTGGCAGCTGTTGTTTGGGACTCAGTAAGTTTGTCATTAGATTGAAAATAGCTCATCGCATGCTATTATAACATGTTGTCCCAGGTCAGGAACAGTTGAAGCATTTATGCCCTTAGAATTGTTCCATAGACAATTTTCAGTGTGTTTCGTGTTGTGCTTCTGATGGAAAAATATCAGTACCTCGAGAATAGACTCTCTTTTATTCAATATACCACAATGCCACAAGAAGATACAAAATAAAGCTGCTAGAATAGTTTTGCAATCTAAGCTACAAGACCACTGCACTGACTACCCATACCTTAAAGGATTAAATCTAAAATACTTTCCCTGACCTACTCTATGATATATATCGGATTTGTCAGTTTATATTAAAAATATACTTCAACAATATAAACTGAGCGTTCCGATCACAAAATAATCAACAACTAGGGCCTGCAAATCATTGATCGAATATTGAAGAACAGGCTTTCTCTTACTCCCTTTCTTTGGAATAAACTTTCAAATTATACCAAAAATTTGGTTTACTTGAATTCATTCAAAAAAAGACTGAAGAGTGAACTATTTAACCAATATGCTTCTCTTAATATTGAAATTTGTTGTATAAGCTTATGATGTTTTCCTGTTTGTTGTGACTTTTTAACTTGTCAATGTTTTGTTTACAGCCATAGAGCAGCATTTATTTTGGATTAGTAGGCGCTCTACAAGTTTACTATTGTAATTTCTATAAAGTATTTCTAGAACATATTTTTATTGAAATTTCTAGACTATATTTATGCAAGTCAAAGATTTTGTTTATAACGTTTGGCAAAATTCATTTTTCCACTTTGACTAAATACTTACAGTAGGTTAAAACATTTTTGATTATGATAATTAATCACAGGGTTTTCATCTTCTCTATTCCAGGCTATAGTTCTTGGAGAATATTTAGAAAAAAATAAAGAAGTGATTGAGGGTAAATATGTACTAGAACTTGGTTCTGGCACAGGTCTAACTGGAATGGTGGCAGCCCTATTAGGTTTGTTACTATCTTGAGTGTAATTTTATGAAAGTGTGATCTGAAAACGGTTTTGCTTTTCTGTATGTGATTAAGTTTGTATTGCATTGCTTCATATATGACTATTAGGTTTGTATTGTATTGCTTCCTAAATCACTATTAGGTTTGTATTGTATTGCTTCCTAAATCACTATTAGGTTTGTATTGTATTGCTTTCTAAATCACTTTTTGGTTTGTATTGTATTGCTTTCTAAATCACTTTTTGGTTTGTATTGTATTGCTTTCTAAATCACTATTAGGTTTGTATTGTATCATGAAAGACACAAAAAATCATTATAAGTTGGTGTGGGATTACGTATCTAATTTAGTCTTGCTTTCTGAGATAGAATTAAAGGGATTGTAAAGAGGATTTCTGAATTTTTTATGCATATTGGGGACACTGAAAGCATCAATTTGTGCCATTTAAAGGAATTGCAGGAACCACAGACGTCTGATTAAAAATTCGAATGGCGCAAATTGATGTTACCAGTGTCTCTGATTACCTTCTTACCTGGATTATGTCATGAAATAATTCATTAAAGTGTGTAAATAGGTGTGGTACGGTCTCAAATGCTTGATTATTGATACTATAGAATATAAAAGAAGCAAATAATGCCTGGTCCCTTACCCCATATACGTTAGACCAGAAATAGAACCTCATGTATTCTCACCTTAAATTAGCACCAACATCAGTATTGTTTGATGCAATGGAAAACATGATTGTTGTGTTCATCTAAAATATTTCTTTCTTTGTAGGAGGGGAAGTGACTGTAACAGAAAGACAAGAGACCTTGCAGTCACTTAATTTAATGGTAAAGAATAATATGCCTAAAGATAAAAAAGACAGAATTCATGTTCGTGAATTAGATTGGACTAAATCTTTGGAAGAATTTCAAGAACACTATGATGTAATACTCGGGGCAGACATAATTTATATCAAAGAAACATTTGATGACTTACAACGAACTCTTGTCCACCTAGCTAATAAAGATACCATAGTTCTCCTATCGTGTAAGATACGATATGATCGTGACACTGATTTTTTGAAAGTTTTAGAAAAGGATTTCAGCTTGAAATTAGTTTTGCATGAAAAATCTCGAGATATCAGGATTTATTCTGCAGTGAAACAATTCTGAGCGAAATTGATCTTTCTTTAATGTAGTATTTATATTTGTTATTAAAATGTCAGCTTGAAGAATGAATCTGTGTTCCCATTTGAGACAATCATTTTTAAGTATGTACCAATAGTATAATTGCTGTTTAATTGAGTCTATATTGAGTGAGAGATGACGCCCCTTAGTAATTAAGACAGCATAAGAGATGTCGTTTATCTGTATTATAAGAGTCCCAGTGTTAGTTTCTTGGTTTTCATGTCATGTACATGAATGGTAAAACCATATGTGGTCTACACTCGGAAAACACCTTCGGTGAACCGAAAATTACGATAAACGAACAGTTTACCGATGATATCATAACATATAAGGTTTTCGCGCTTTCCGTTAACCAATCGGTCATTTCCGTCTTTTACCATCCGATTCTACGTTTTACGGACAAGTTCAGTTCACACACCCACACACACACACCACCCCAGTATGCTACGCCCCTGATTAATATTGAAACTATCGTGGAGATACAATACAATGCAAATACATACACAAATGCTTACATAAAAAGAAAGAATCAAGATTGATCATTGGTTTTGTATTTTAACCTTTGATTTTAATCCACAACTGATTTTAATCCACACCAAGTTTTGAACATTCTGCAACCCTCGACAGTTTCCGTACAACTGATGCTGAATCTGTTGCAGAGAACTAGTAGAACTGTTACGGTTGACCGTTTGGCTCTGATAGTGAAACGAGTTCTGGAAAACAATGTTAGTATTTATATCGTCCGGGGAAAAGTTATTTTATTTAAAATGAAGTATATCTTCGGCCTGATTTGCTTGCTTAGAATTCACCGCAAAATAGTTTGAGGTCGATTCATGTCGCTTCTTGCTCGGTTTATGCTTAAGTTGGTAGTTTCCTGGTCGGTTCATGTATAAGTAAGTACAAAGAACGGGAAATGAGCCAACTGTCTCGCCTTTTTAACAGTGGTTCAAGTCCAAAGGCCCCAAAACCCTAAGAAGGCCCCAACCCCAAACTGTAGGAGAGCATAATTATGTTAAAAACAAATTTCCCAAGGGAGAACCCCCAACCCACTTCCGCCCACGATCCCTACTCATCTCATCTAGTCAAGTGCAGTAACATGTATGCATTGTAACATTGTGAAAATTTTGAGAAAAGATAGAGAATATTTTTACCTCACAGACTATGTTATATAATAATGTACTATGGAAGACAGCCCAAAATCAAGACTCCTTAATCCTTAGCCCGTAATGCTTCATTTGTAGGTCATTTTTGACATTTGTTTCATGAAGTGAACATTAGTTCATAAAAATCATGAATTGAATTATTAAATTAAAAAAGACACGTGTCTCATTACATTTCTTCAGTAACAAATCTTCAAATACAAACCATGGCCAACAATTTAATGTAGCTTATCATTTCACCAAATACATTTCTCGAAAATTGTTTTTTTCACTGTGATAGCCAACAACGATCAGCACCGCTTGTTGTCATAATTTCAATGCACATAATTATGAAGAGAGATAGCGCTGTTTGATATTCGAGAAATGTATTTGGTGAAATGAAAAGCTGCATTAAATTGTTGGGCATGATTTGTATTTGAAGATTTGTTACCGAAGAAATGTAAAGAGAAGCGTTTTTTTTAATTTAGCTTTTTTCTTGACAAATTATTGATTTAGAGAACGAATTTTCATTTTTATGAACTGATGATCATTTTCTGAAAAAATGTCAAAAATGACCAACAAATGAAGGAGTTGGAATTAAGCATTACGGGCTAAGGATTAAGGATTAAGACGTCTTAATATTGGGCTGTTTGGTCTTTCATAATATACATTGGTGGCGCCAGTGAGGGTACAGGTTTCATAAATATATTTTATTATATCATTCAGCACCCGTTTTCACAGCTCATGAATTGGTAATAATTTCAAAAGACCTGTGATTATCTACATGTATCGAAATTGTTAAATTTTAACAACCCTGACATGTTGAAAAGTTTTAAAAATATTTTATATATCATCTGGATAAAAATTTGGAATAAAAGTCAAATAGATGTGAGTTTATGATGTATTTTACTTTAATTGAGATGAACACAATACGTCCTATATTACTACAAACAATTACTACTAGTAGTCTATATAGTTGACTCAAATAACACTGGTTATTGTATGTATGTTATGCTTGACTTAATCAATATCCATTTTACGGTTAGTTCTTTATATAGGTGTCCTGTTAATGAGAGTCGAAAAACATTTGATCTTGGATGGTGAGTAATCGAGGATAACATGCCATAAAGTAAACCATGTAAAATTAAACTAAAAACAGATTCAGTCGTCCGGAGACAGTCAGGCACGTGATGGAGCACAATTTCTCGTGGAATGACGTAAATGAATTGGGGATGTCCTGAATTTCCATAAATAACTTATACTAAATAGCAGAAAGAAGAAAATCAACATCATCCTGAAATAATGACTGATGAAATTTTTCAGGTATGCCTTTTAGGCCGAACCCGATATGTATAAAGGTGAAAATATGCTGATCAGTTTTCGAAACACGAGATTATATTTTATATTAAAGGGACAGGTAGGCCATTTTTTAACCAATCGTATTTTAGACTTAGAAACTGGAATTTTTTAGCTGAGCTAATCTATAACAGTGTTCACAGCTCATCTGAAAACTATTTACATATATCAAGAATAAACTCAAATTTTTCGGGCAAACCAGTCTGCCCCAATAAACGAGATACTTTTTATAACATTTCAAAGAGATATTTTTCCGTTAAATTTTTCTATATCACGACATTTGAACCTATCGTGATAAATAATTGTCTACATCGCGAAACACAAAAAATCTCATATCCCCCAACTCTGATTAGGGTCCTTAAGACGTTTCAGCCTCACTTGTTTTAACTATTTCTTGTTCACATGTTTACAGACCAGTAAGGGCTTTGGTACATGTCACCCTCTTATTATCTTAAGGCGTAGATCTATATTCAAAATAAGTTAAGTTGTTGCTATATAAAGTAATTATTAATAGATAGCCGTTCATCGATCTAATCTAGAATGATAATTTTTATACATGAATAGGGGTGGGGAGGGGGGCGTTTAGTGTGTATTACTGTCACCCATTTCCGCCCGTTCGTCTCTGAAGGTTCAATCTATTGACAGATTTTGACGAAACTTAGTGTGAATGTTTGTTATCACCCAGGATGATTCCTATCGAAAATCAGAAAATTTTTGGCTGAGTATTCAAAAAAAGGAGAAAATATCAAAAACAGCTGTCACAACAACGGGAGTAATGATGTCAACGATGTCATCAATAACGTCTAAAATGCAAGCAAGAAAAGAGACTTGTGTTCAAGAATACAAATTTCATTCAAATTTGAAATATATTTCATCTGCTTTTGAATACTTGTGTGTCAATAAAAAATGCTACAAATTTATATAGTACAGTATTATGGTGTATAGTCTCAAGAAAAGACGAATCGTCAAACGCAGATAATTCTGGACACACATGGATTTAAAAGGTTTAACGGTTAGCTCTAAACAATATTACTGATTAGCTTTGCTAAAAAATATCCCGTTCCTGAGGCTAAGGTACGATTGGTCGAACACAATGCGAATGTGTCCCTTTAAATAATAATATTTATATGGATATTTAGTATTTTGTTTGTAATTAGAAACGACAACAGCTTGTGGTAGTGGAATATTAATTGTACTAAATAAGTTTAATTATTGATTTTTTAGGATTTTGAGACTTATACAGTTTCTCTCATCGGTTCATCAGCGGTATGATACATCAAAATGAACAAACAGTTCGTGTTTATAGTAGTGTCAACAATATTAGTATTGTTTTGGGTTCTGATGGACAGCTCATTTATACGATATTTTGAGAGTTTTAAACTGAGGTATGAATGCTTATGTATTTATCCAGTACCTGTTTAGTCCTGGTCATTTTTGTCTGAATTGGAATATAAATTTCAATACACTTCTGATTGTCCAAGAGTTAGTTTGCATTTAAAAAATAAATTTCTGGGATTATTTTCCGCAAAAATGTTTTGTCATTTTGCTTATAATAACGTAAGCTTACAAAATATCTGTCAACAAATAGTCATTTTAAGACCATCAATCAGTACAATTTTGAAACTGATGCACCAAGTAAAGATTTACCGGTGCTTAAAAGTAAGATAGCAGATTGTGTTAGTGTTTCTGTGGTAAGATCGATCGAAGATTTGCCACATTGTCGAGTTAAATCAGAGCTGCTCCTTAAATGTTTACGCGGAAAGACATTTGCATTAAGGTTTAAAAAGTTGAAACTATAAACCGTTCAAAAAACAGGATGCCTGAGAACCTTTTAACCAAAAGGACGCACAAGCATCTTCATTGTCTCTCTTTACTTCCGTTTATTATTTGCTTTTAGTTTTAATATAGCCACTTCAGATTGGGTTTAAAGACAGCCCTCTCTAACCTAACTGAAGTGGCTATGTTAAAAATAAAAGCTAATAAAAAACGAAACGAATTTTTGGTCAGAATTTAAAATTAGAATGTCTGGGAGATATTTTGTAATGGGTGAACTATGATTTGCAATGAACGATGACCGGCTCAGTTGATCATTGACAGCACGATCTGTATTGTTTGAAAACAGCAACCTTTAGTACAAAGTGTTTATATATAGTTTCCCGCATAATTATCGTAATTCTTCACTTAAAATAAACTTAGACGTAATACTTGCCATTTCAGGATATCAACAACTTTTAGTGAAATTAGTACATATCACGAAAACTCGCAGTTACTTTTACTGGTACAAAAAGAAAAATTAACTTGCCAATTACCGGAATTCACAAGTATTGAACAATGTCGAAATATCAACAAGGAAAATACCTGTTCATACACATGTAAATGTTATAAATACCTGACTATAAAGTTACCTGGAGTATACCAAATTCCCATATCTACACCAATACAAGATATGGTAAGTGTCGAGGCCATGACTTTAAGAGACCCAGAGTTTCTTGACTTAAGTGACACTGCTAGTGTTAAGCTTACAAAGTTATCGTTTTTAACCTCAGTCGACAATATTCGGGTTGGAGATGAATTCAAGATCCTGATTCAGCTGTTTGATGGTGCTGGTCGACCACGACAAGTAGGTGGTGATGATGTCAGAGTATGGATTAAATCTTCAGACTTTGTTTATAAGGCATCTGGAGAAGTTGTAGACCATTACAACGGAACTTATGTGGCAACATTTAAAGCCATTTGGGAAGGCAATTCATTAATATTCTTTAAATTGGCCTACACAAGAGAGGAACTTGCCACTAGGTTTATGTGGAACCGTCAGTACGGAACACTATCTTACCTTGTAGGCCAATATAAGAAAGCCGAGGTCGTCGAATATACTCCCTGCACTTTCTTCCAAACTATACCAGGGCATGGCGAAGTGTGTAACTTTACAATGCTAAACAATGGACAACCATGGTATTGTGGAAAACCAAATAGTACAAAACTAGGATGTGCGGATATAAACTTATTCAAAGAATATGGTCAAACTCATATCCCTTTAACAAAAGCCCAAAGAGAATTAATATTTAACAGGTAGGGCACACCCCTTTTTGTAATTTATGAATAAATATTTTTTAGATAAAAAAAATTATATTAAGAAATGCAATAAAAGAAGGTTTTTCTGCACTATATTGGCTAATGAAGACAGATAACGACATGCAGGGTGATGGAAATTATGCAAATACTCCTTATCAACTTAATAATTTCCCAGTACTAAAATGCACACGGGATGAAAGGGAAGAAATAATATAAATTATGAAATATTATTATAGGAGAATACAATCAGGCTATCAATTTTTAAAAAATACACTTATAGTATAGGATATTCGGGAAAAGATATGATTTCATTTTTAAATTCCAAAAAAATAAATAAAATAAAATCGGTTCGTTCAAAAAAATTTTTTTTTAATGCCTTGCCCGAAAAACTAGCCTTCGGGGCTGCGAGGGGCGGCAGCTGCCCCCCCTGTGGCTCCGCCACTGCTTGTTGCTTGATGCCCTGGACTCAAGCTTTGATCCACTAACTTGAGGAAATTACTTTGGATCATGTAATAGCAGACCTATTTCCTTTCACGCGAAGCTGTAAATATGTATAAGGTGAATCAAATATTTTATATATTTTTTCTTTGCTTTTCAGAAAATCTCATAACAGAATATTGAAGACTAAACTAAAATTTCATTTTCAAAATGGTCAGTCCTTCTTTTTCTATAGCCCTGTTGAGAAAATTCGATAATTCATAGCTATTTGAAACAATACATTTGGCAACTAGCTAATCAACATGTTGATTCTCCCGAATGACGCAGTCATTGACTATCCAGATGTAACATGTGCCTGAGAATGTGATACAGAGAGTTTAAATATTTGCCTTAACACGGTGACAGGTGATGAAAAGAAAATCATAAGTCATCACTCAAAAGAGTATTGTCCTCTAAATTTTTTTATTTAGCTACATATCAGCTGATGGAAATGGTTTTCACATTGAAAGTCCAACGTCTGGCTCATCAACATGAAATTGAGCTCTACATATTATTGTGTAAGCTGGCAAAACAAATATTTATACCATCATTCACTTTAACTAATCTAATTTAAATTCATCTTTTTGTTTCAGGACAATTGCTGAAACTAAACCAAAACTGTAACGTTTTAGACAAAAAAGAGACGTGGAACACCAAGATGCCATCGGGATATTTTAATAGCAGCAAATGGATATCGTTAAAATGTAAAAATACCCTTGATAATTCATCTTTCGAATCATGTTTAAAAAACATGGACGTCATCATCATGGGCGACTCCACCACTCGTCAGTATTTTTCTTACATTACTTCTAAAGTCGTTCATGACTGTATACTTGTCACTGAAAAATGGAAGTGGCCTCAATGGCATTCACCTAGTAAATGTGTCTCTAAGAATAGAAACCTTACAATTTCATGGAATCCCCATGAATTGCCTTTCTCGGATGCCAAATTACAGGGAGGTGAACTTAATCTCAAGTCAACGGCAAGGATTTTAAATGAACTACCATCCAATCGAAAAATAGTGTTCGTGATACATTATTATGCTCACATGATACGTCAGCACTCCGCAATTGTTTTACGGGCAATACGTGGTCTCAAAAGTGCCATAAAGAAAGCGTTATCCAGGAACAAGAATGTGGTAATTGCTGTCAAAACACCACATTCGTTTGGTGAATCAAGGTGTGAGTCGCACTTTGCTGATTTTATGGGACCAGTTTTTATTGAATTATTTAATAGGGAATTTCGAGAATTACAGGATTCCATTTTAAATTTAAATGTATGGGAAATGAGTGTAGCGAGTGAAAATTTCCTACTCCATCCCAAGGAAATTATTGTACGGGAACATTTACGCATGTTATTTGGATATATATGTAATTGACGCAATTAAATATAGTTAAAGGGATATTGTCTTGTGAGTATTTACTTATCCAACTGATAGAGATGGTTTCAGCCACCCCTTACCCTTTTCAGAATTACAATCCAACGTTCATCCATCAATTCAAAAATATTGATTTTAATTCTGACAAGTTTAATTCTGATCGGTGATTAAACAACAATCTATTGATGAATAAGATATGGAGAGGACTATATCCTGTCACTGGGGTTCTTGGGAAATATCTGGTAAATATGCCCCTGCTTAAAGATGGGTTTCCTTATTTTTTTATTGTCAAATTAAGCAAACTATTTGACAAATTGGTGTTTCTAATGAATTATCATGTATTCTTAATCATATCTTTATTTCCTTATCGCATATAACCAATTATAAATGCTCATGTTTGTACAGTCTGGATAAACTAAAAAAAGAATTCTGGTAATTCTCTTCTAATTTAGCTAATTATGAATTAATTATGGATATGTGAGACAAACTGGTATTTTTCCTAGTCTACCTCTACTTTCTTTTCATGTATGTATTAGCAAGGGGCATTCAGAAAGGAATGATAGACGTTGTAGTTAAGTTCAAGCTCATTGGACCGACAGTCTAAATTTGTTTCCAGCAGGGAAAGATAGATTTGGGGTACTCCGAGATATTGGTTGTAGTTCGATCGATGGATCAACCTGTCCAAACATTGTGAAGTAAATCTAAAAGTATGCAAATGGTGATGTTTAAACTTCTTTCGTACAAATCTGAATTGGTAATAACTTTTTTATTGGTGAAGATAATTTAATTCTGTAAAAAGATCTAAAACAAACCTGAAAAACACAAATTACACAGAATAAGAGTCAAATTTATTATGTAACATTTACGTCGCACATGATTCCACCTGTTTTTACTTCAACAACCAAAATACGTCTTAAATTAATGACAATTGCAGAAATAGACATAACATAGACCAAAATGTTTTCTAGAATGACTTTTAAAAGGGCATACTTCCATTAGGGAGTGACTTTAAAGGGGCACTCCGCTTTTTTGTAAAACATTTTCACTATCAAAAACGTCGTAAATTATACCTGAAAATATTTCTATTTCTGCTATTTATATCTATGTATCTACTTGATCAAACTGAATTTCTTTTTAAAAGTGTTGATTAAAAACTGATAGTACTTATTGTTAATTAAGCAGTTTGACTTATTTTCGGTGATTGGTTTTATAATGGCTTTTTATATTTAGTTGAAATCTTTAGAAAACTCTACAATTAGGCGTTTATTTTACTGAAATTTGGTGTTAACAAATTAACGACTGGATTTTTTCATTAAAACTTCCAGATACGTTATGTGACAGATTTTAGTTTATAGTTTTCACAAATTTGAGCAAATCAATTTTCAACCTACAAAAATGTCCCTTTAAGTAACAATTATTATGTAACTCGTTTATAGGTTTTTCCCTTTACCACCACAAAAACCAAAATGAAATGAAATGAATGAATGGAGTTTTACAGTCTTGTCATTCAAAACTCTGGAAATGAAAGGTGACAAAAAAAGAAGAAATTGTGGAATTTAGCCATTCAGGCTCATAGTGAAGAAGAGGCCCAGTACCGCAGTTTAAGATTAACAAAGGGGGGTTGGATGGAAATATTTACTAAAATGCCTCAATTGTGGATACATTTCCCCTTTAGTGAATTTAAACAAGGAAGTCACAACTGGCAAAAGGGGTATGAGTGGTATGACCAAGTCATCTAATTACGTTAGTACCAAAACAACCGAATTGAATAATGAGATTATATGGATGAGGTGAAAAACATCAACAGAAGAAGAGGTGCATCTATCCATAATTCTCTCACCATAGAACACAGTAAAAAACTGGCCAAGGAACATCTCAATCAATTGGTATTGCTTGTGAGACAAACACAGATAGGAAATATATCATAAGTGCTGTGTTGCAAAAAAAACTTTCTTGGAGCGTGGCTAAGGAGCACAGGTATTATTGTCAACTGTCCTGGACACGAGGGATGCACAGTAAATCTGACGAGACACCTTTATCTGAGAGAGAAATGGAGAGAATAATTGGTGAAGATTTATCTATTCAAGGGGTGCTCATCAAATTTGCCACAAAACGTGGAGATTCAACGTCAGCTACCGGAATTGAAGAGGCAATGAAAACTTTACATCCTATGTAGAAAGTTGAAAGACTAGCTGAACCAGCCCATCTTAGTGCATCTCAGTTTCACCAATGTTTTGAGGCTAATTTTAGCGACGGACAAACTGACAAAACAGCTGCCGAAAATACTACAAGCAACTGTTATGTGCTACGATGGAGACTGTTCCAAGTGCCGTTCGAACTCTGTGGTATGTGGTGGAGGTCACAAGTAGTATATGTGTTTTCTGATATAGCGCATCCAGTTTGATCCGGTTTTTGAGATGGCAGGTATATGTCTTTTCGGATATGACGCATTTCACTTCTGCGCATGCGCAGCTTTTTCAATGCATCATATCCGAAAAGACACAACTGTTAAAATGTATTATAACAGACTCCCCAAACTGTTAAAAATGTATTATAACAGACTCCCCAAACTGTATTATAACAGACTCCATATAAATTACACAAACCACAGACAAGATTCACTAAAATAATACAGTAAAAAATAACCGCATTAAAAATGTCTTTAATTTTAAAACACGAAAAAAAAAATTCGGAGACGGTTTCTTCTCTGCGCTAACATCTCTCATCCCCAAAATGGCCAATTTTGTCTCAAACAACAAATCCCTCATTTCCTCAGAAGCGCAAGCCCTTGGATCTGTGGCAAAAGCAGGAGTAAATATAAGCGATGCAGTGCAAAAATCTGACGAACTTAAAGAACTGCAGCTAATAAGAGAACTAAGAAACAAGAGACTAGAACGACAAGCCCTAGAAAAACAAGGAAAAGGGTTTAAAATCATTGGATAAAAATGGCAAGCAAAAATTACAGATTGGATCCAATCTTTCAATTGTATGATCCGATTCAATATTCGTTCAACAAAAAGAAAGAGGATTACGTAATCATCTCACCATCGGTAGGGACAAAGACCCAAATAAACGACGGAGGAAGAGTTACCTTTGAAATTAATTCGTTGTCCAATTGGTTGCTGCTTTCCGATGCCCATTTCCGATGCGATTTCAAAATCAAAGACGCCACTCAGAGAATCGAATTCCACAAACCAACACGACTTTAGAAAACAATTTCTTTCCGTCTTTATTCAGCGAAATGGTTTTGGAAGCTGGTTCAAATCCGATAGAGACCATAAAACACCCCGGCGAGTTTGACACAATGTTGAAAACGGTTCTGTATCCCAAAAACTACGATTCAGTTTCGGGATGGATTCCCGATGTCGGTGACGGAGAAGTTTTAAAAGAACCGGTCAGAACTGTAGCAAATGACGCAGACCTTGCTAGGATAAGGGTAGTTGCTAGAAACACACTGGAAAGAGTGACTCGCGGAGTAAATCACGGATTTGAAAAACGAGCGCTTCAATACAACAACGTTGTCGAGAACAACAGATGGGGTAATTACGTTAATTGGAAGTTGTATCCTTTATTTGGTCTCTTGGAACACAGAAAGGTTTCCATAGGTTTACCGTAACTCTGACGCTAAATTGGAAATAACGAATATCCAACTTTACATACCGGTAATCACTCCTTCCGTAGAAGTGGAAACGAGAATATTCAACTCTTTAACCAAAGACATCGAAATTGCTTTTCTTCGTCGTAACACGGTAGGTAGCATGACTTTAACGGGAGAATCCACCACGTGGCCAATCACCAACGCCGTCAAACCAGAGAGATATCTAATGGTCGGTTTCAAAAACTTGCCAGACTCTCAGACAAACAACAACAACATTTTCAGAGTGGCATTGAACCATACTCAAGATCCCATCATTCGCAAAGTTCAAGTCAGATTGAACAACGATAATTATCCCAATCAACATTTGACAATTGATCCTTCCAAAAAAGATTACAACGAATTGTACAGAAACTATAAAAACATGTGCGAATTGTTTGGAAATACGCCTCAGTTTGAAACACAGATTTTTCACTCAATCATCCAATCTTTTGTTTCGATCTGTCAGCTCATCAAGAAGATCTTTTCAAAACAGGGGTAAACATAAATATTCACATCGATAAAACACAAGGAGATGTGACCGACTACTGTTTATTGCTGAAAGAAGCAAAACATTTGATTAAAATATCAGATAGACGAATGATAAGAATTGAATAAAAAAACACCCTTTAAAAATGAAACCAGAAACTTTAGTTATGAAAATAATAGAAGCTATGGAAACGAATTCGCCGACTCTAATAACTTACAACGGTAAAATAGTGCATATAACCCAAAAGATTATCGATAAATACAAACATTGCAAAGTCAGAGACGATATAGACTTGGAAAGAATTGATGAGAATTTAACTAAAAAAGGTGGATTTTTACCTTTCTTACCTTTAATCTTTGCTGGTTTAGCTGCAGCCGGTGCAACTGCTGGTGGAGCTGCTGGGATAGCCAAAGCTGTCAACGATAAGAAAGCTGAAGCCGCTGCAAACGCCGAAGCACGTAGACACAATTTGGCAATGGAAAGAGAAGCACGAGGAGGTTCGGGAATAGGAGATATATTAGGGACGATAAAGGCATTCGGACAGAGATTTGGCGAAGAAACCAAAAAAACCGTTAAAGAGGGATTAAGCAAATTAATAGATAAAATCGACACTGGAGAAATGAAGGTCAAACACAAGGGCAACGCCATATTTTTTAAAAACATACGTTCGGGCGAGGGAATCTTCCTTTCAAAGTATAAAGGCAACGGGGTGATTTATGGTACGAAAATGTAATAAATAAAAATGGGCAAGAAATTTAAACATTCGGACATATTTCCTAGTAACCCAATGCTCATGTGTATTTGCGGTAGTTCAGGTTCTGGGAAAACTCATCTCACTTTTAACATGTTGACAACACCAAACCTTTTAGATTTCGATTCTCTGTATATCTACACAACAACACCAGAGCAATCGTATTATCAATTCCTCAAAGCTTTGGAATATTTACCAAAGAAAGATGTTCAAGACATATTTCAATATTACGAAGAAAACGAAGAAGAAGTGGAAATAAAAGATATCATAGAAAACTTCATTAAATCAAAGAATCCATCTTTCAATCCAACGGATATAAAAGTTTTTCTTACGAAAAATATTAATGATCTAGACTTGTCTAATATTGATAGCAATCGAAAGAACTTAATATTGTTTGACGACTGCGTAGCGCAAAGAAATCAAACTGTTCAACAAGAATTCTTCACCAAAGGAAGACATCACAACTGTCACTGCATATACCAATCCCAATCTTTTTACGGGATGGATTCTATGTTCATTAGAAAAAATGCAAATTGTTTTTTATTATTTGAATTAAACGATAAAGATTTATCTCAAATCATTCAGTCTATAAATCACGGAATGGACAGAGATACATTTAAAAAGGTTTGTAAAGCTCAATGGAGAAACCCAGATGATCATGGATATGTATTTGTAAATACTAGAAAACCTGCGGGAGAAAGAGTTATGATCGATATATGTTAATTTTATTTTTTTAAAAATGACGGATTGGAATAATTTTCAAAAAGAAATAGAGAATATATCAAAGCTAAGAATAAAATAAAGACCCAAGTTGAAAATAACAGATTACAACAATCGGATTAACGGAAAATCTACAGACTCTATTTCAACCCATATTAAAAAGTCAAGAAGATATCAAAAAGAGATTCGCTATAGAACCCACGCCTCGTATAGAACCCACACCTCATCACCCCAAAGCGATTGAATATAGTGGTGTTATAATTAGGACAGTAGATGATGTAAAACGTCTTTTTTCAAACGCTAACCCAGAATTACCAAAAAGCATTTCACCAATCATTGATGAAGCGGGTTTGTTGTTCAATGGTTTTAGAATAAGATTTAGGACATAATTTATAATCGATACAAAAGATTACATATACACATTAACGAGAGGGTTAATAGATTTAATGAATGGCGAGGATGTTGAAATTGCCGATTACAAGGATTTAGTAGCATACTCAAAATTTCTACATGCGATCAGAAAGTCAGGACCCGAAACAAGAAGATTGAAAGAAGTTGATTTATATATAACAAAAGTTATTGAGCAAGATGAAGAGGAGATAGATGATTATACAGAAGAGTATCCACCAATCATACAAGAAATAGACGAATTCGATGATATGGTGGCATCTGGACAAGGTATAACGTTTTTATCCGACGACAATAAAGAATTGCTTAATAGATTAGAAATAATATTAGCGGCCATGAAGGAAGGTCATCGATCGGACAGACAATACAACGAAGAGTCAATGGCATATTAAAACGGCTTTTGGAGAAAGAAATCATCACTAAAAAAGACTATATAAACGTCATTAAAAATGTCCAATAAAGAACAATTGTTCGTTATCACCTCGAATAAACCAGACCTCAAATTGTCTCTAGACTACGAGTATGAACTCGATCGCAATAAACAGTACGAACTGGGATTAAAGTATTTCTCCGTTTACAATTCCATTAGAAACATCAACGAAAAAAACAATCAACTAAAAATATCGACGGATAACGGAGTTACGTTCGAAACCGTAAGCTTACTACCGGGGAGCTACGAATACGTAGCCATCAACGATTACCTATCCGAATACGCAGGAAGCGTGAACAGCTAAAACAATATCGAATTCGAAGGTAATTTGAATCTGAACAAAATAAAACTGATCTTGAGATATAACAGTCAAGTCGATTTCAACGTAGAAAATTCGTTGAATGCGTTACTAGGGTTCGATAAACGAATATACGCGCAATCGACATTGGCGCCGCACAAGGCCAACATCGAGAACGACATCGACGTGATCAACATTCACTGTAATTTGATCAACGGTGGATTTTTCAACAAGCACAAACGCCAAATCATATACAGCATACCGACTTTTACGGTGCCGATCGGATACAGAATTATAGAGAAACCGTTTCAAACGACCTATTTACCAGTCAATTCTTTCATGATCAAAGATATAAATCTGGAAATCAAAGACGGTAAAAACAGGTTCATAGACTTTGGCAACGAAGAAATTGTCATTCAACTTCATTTAAAACAATCTTCATTCTCTTCTTGATTAGAAAGATAATCGAAATCATCAAATTCATAGTTTTCGTCAAAACTATACTCATCTTTGTCGTTGTAAGGATACATAATTCCTTCACTGTTTGGTGGTTTTCTGTTAACATTATTCAAATAACTTCTTAAAACTTTCTTTTGTTTATCATTTGGAATAACTACTCCATTGATGAAACTTTTTTCCCATGGTTTATTAAATTCGTTCGACACATCATGTCCGCTTGCTAACTGAACGTAATCTTCTACACTTATCTTATCATTAGAATAACCTTTAAACGTTTTCTTTTCTTTTAAAACACCATCAGATGTCAAAACGATGTTGTATTTGACTTTTGGTGCTAAATATAAACCAAATATAATTCCACCGTCACCGTAATCGTTTTTACCTTTGCAATAGTCTTTTTCGGAGACCAAACCAGCTCTGTTTAGTTTTTTCCAATTGTTGGATGAAATGTACAAACTATCGGTGTCGGTATAGTATATTTCGGGTTTATAAAATCAATTTATAACGTGAATGAAATTGTTCATTATTTTTTTACTGTGGGATAAAACGAATGATCCCAAATGACTAGGTGTTAGTCGTGTAGATTTACTGTCTTCGGTAGTAATCTCTTTTTCTTCAAATTCTGTTTCAACAATATATTGAGTATCATTAATTTTCTCATAGGTTTTAACGCGTGAATCAAAGTTGGCCTGTAAAGTTGCTTCATTCCATAAATGTCTAGTTGTGAATATATCTTTCTGAATTGATTTACCATACAAGGAATTACCTAATAATTTCATGCAGTTACTACCCACGATATTACCTTCTCGTTTATATTTATTTCTTAAATCTCTCAAAATTAAAATATAATCTCTATAGGGTGGAGTTTTAAAATTTTCTTCGTAAACTATACCATCTAATATTCTAATAATTCGTCCACCGGCTTTCACTATTTTTTGAATATCGACCGATGTTAAAACGTCGTGACAGAAACCATTTCTGAACCTGATTTTGTTACCAGTTTCCTTTTTACCTTCTTTATTCGTGAAAGTGATTTTATCTTTAGCTGGTATCGGTTGGAAGAACATGTTTTTGGGATAGTCAAACCACACTGTTAAAATAGCTGTTCTAGGTCTGAATTTTTGTTTATTGAAGAGTTTTACAAATTCTTTTTATTCTTCTGGTAGAAACGGTCTTCCACTTTCGGCTCTCGGATATTCACTGTCTAAATCCGACATGGCGGAAGCGTATAAACCGTTAGCATCAAATGCCATTATTTTTTTAAGTCTCGAATGAACCTCCGTTTTGTCTTTTGTGCTTGCGCTATATTCTTTGAATAAATCAATTATGTTATTACTTACTTTCACTTTGTGAAATATATTCCTTTAATACGTTACAAATTTCATCCATTTTGTTCGTTTCAAATGATTTTCTATTTGCCGAAACTCTTCCTCCTTTAATAGATCGTCTGATAAAATTTCTTATAAAAGGATTAGTGTGCGAATAAACTTTTTCTATATTTTCTTTTTCGGTATGTTTCGCAACCATTCTAGTAGTGTCATACTATTCTTCTTCCACCATTTCTTTATCGTAATGATATAAATAATACCAACCCTTTAAAGATAAAGATGGAGCCGTTAGATTATTGGACATATTCTGGTTTACAACTTCTTTCGTGACTTGGTTGTATTTTATCAAACAAGCTCCCAAACAGAGAGTGTCTCTCTTGGCGTAAGGTTCCCATTCGTGTCTCAATTCCTCCCAGTTGTCTTGCGTGTATTTAGCGATATCTACGTCGGCAATCTTTCTCAAATTCGCGGGAAGATTGGAAGAATTTCCCCATGCAGCCAAACTAGAGGATTCGTGTTGATAGGAACACGTGAAATTAATATGTTGTAAATAATTACTCTTTATTTCTTTCTGTCTTTTCCATTTTTTCTGTAAACCTTCATCCGTGTATGGATTAGATAAAGGGAAAGATAGAATTCCTCTGGGTGTTTTTAAAGGGCAATGCGTTAGTTTTTTTGCATTTTTAAGCACGATCCAGTTGTCGAAACCGCTGCCGTTATGAGAAATTAATATTAATCTCTTTCTATCATATTGACCTAAATATTTCAACATTTGATCGATGCAATCTGTACCTACAAATAGTTCTACTACATTCATTAGTTTATCATAAAATTCTTCTGGAAGGGGATCTGACGGCTTTAAATTTGGAAAGAGATTATCTATTCTGTTTAACATTTTTCTTAGTTTTTCTAAATTAATTAAAGTGCAGGCATAAGGAATTGCTCTTCGCGTGTCTTTTTCTTAATAAGTTTCGCAATCCCAAGCGAATAACACATCATCACTCATACTCGAAAGCACGTTTAGTTTGAGGGGTGAAACCTGTGTTACTGCGTTGTCGTCTCTACACGTTTTCCACACCTGTTCGTAATTGTCTTCTATTCTTTGAATTCCCAAACTTTTTTGGCTTCTTCTAATCAAACAGAAATGCGAGTTGTGTAAGTAAAAAACCCAATCTAATTCATCGTGAACGTCTCTGGGGTGAAAATGTCTGTTTTTGGGATTATAAATTTGAAACGAAGTGTTAAATTTCTTGTTGAATTCCTTCATTCTAGCACAAGTCATCACTCCTTTTCTATTTGCTTTTGAAAACCCGTTGATGTATTCTTGAAATTTACACGTTAAATCTTTGTTCAAAACACGATTGACGCATTTGATGAAACAGTGACCATCTGTAGGTATGTAACAATTTTCGCCTTCGTATTCATTTATCTTTTTAAGTAGATCAGTTCCTCCTCTACCAACTCTCGATCTTTTTATTTCTTGGAAATTGTCTTACATTAAAATTATTTTTCCTGTAAAATACAAATCGGAAGCATCGGATTTTTTGTCCATATTTGAAAAGATATTGTGAAAAGTTTTGGCATTGAAACCGAGGAGTGACATGTATTGTCTGTGATTCCCTTCCTCGACTATCTCTCCATCTATTTTAATTTGGCCTTTGAATGTTTTAAATTTATCAGAGATAGCCTTGATAACATCGGAAAAAAGGGCGTTTTCTATCAATGTTTCATCGTCTGCAAGTTCGATTTTATTCATATTTTTTTAAGTATATATTTTTGATTATTTCTTTATTTTGACCGCTGATACTTCTGTATGGAATTTGTCCAAAATTTCATTGAATTCTTGTAATTCTTCAACTGTTATGTTCTTGTCTTCTCTCGATCTTTCGAAAAATATGTACAATTGATTAAGATACATATTCAAGATATCCGTTTTCTTTTTATAATGAGCTTTCTTTTTGCTCGTGAAACCTAAAGTGATGAGACCGCAAGAAGTCGTTTGAACGGCTGTTAATGCAGCCAATACGGTTGGGACGATGACCGGAAGCATTAATCCACCAGTCACGGCCGTTGCCACCGTTACTCCTACCGTTAGAACTGTGCTCGCTGTTTTGAAAACAGAATCGATTCTACTCCATGTTTTCCTGCATGAATTGTACTGTCTCAACTTTATTTTCAACTCTTCTTGTTTGTCTATCATGTATTGTTGTCTGCTTTCGAGTTCCATTTTTTAAGTCGTTAAATTAAGTGAATTTCCGATAAATGGAACCACGGAATATCGCATAGAGCCCCCTTGTTTGGCCTAGCATTATTATATTTGCGGGTATTAAAAGTAAAAACATTTACGCGTACTAACGAGATTTCTTTTTTCGTATGGTCCTCTATAAGATGATAGGAATATTTTCTTTTTTCTTTTTCGATGTTTATCTTGGCTCTACAAATAAAACCACCACCTTCAAGGATGGAGTTGGAACCTTCGGCAAACGATAAATGTACTATAAACTCTCTTTCTTGTTGACTTTTATGAACATCGATCGAGGTGTATTTTCCATCGTAAACAAAATACAGTTTTACGTATTCAAAGTCTGTTGTTCGTAAAAACTCGTGACTGCTCGATTCTATTGGTCCGGGTACGTATACGGGTATTATAAGTGATGGTGGAATTTTGACAATGTTGGTAAATGGTGGATTTTCCGTCTCCAATATCATATCCAAATCTTTGATTCCAATGATATCCTTATCATTTTCTATTTCCATTTTAAAGGTGTCTACATATTTACCATTTTTCGTTTCAATTTCCTGATCCCTTTTATCAATCAAACGTATATTCTCTTCCAAATTACCATCATTGAATAATGAAATATGTTTGACGGCCTTGCCGGTTTGTTTGAAGACTACTTTATTGACTTTAACCTTCATGGGAAACTCTATTTGAATCAGACAATTACCTCGAAAAGTAAACGCTTGCGTTTCGCCTATATCGAATACGTTTTTAGGTTCTCCGTATGCGAGAGAACCCACTTTTATTTCTGCTTTGAATCCGTATTTGTTTGATTTATAAATTTGGTCTTTTTCATCGAAGACAGTGTCACTTTCGAATGGAAGATTGAAATAATACGAATTGTCCGTGACAATAGCTTCTAATTTGCTCAACTTTCTCTCTTGTCTCAAAATATCGTCATGAATTCTAGATACCAAAAGATTGACCTGTTCTTTAATATAATTTTTCATATCAACTCGAAATTTATTTTGAAGAAAGTTTTTAATCACACCCACTTCTTTTTCTAATTCGTCCGTGATTTTAGTATCCAAAGCAGACAATTGTCGTTTCAACGTATCTTTGTCAATGGGAAGTGTGTTAATTATATCTTGAACATCTGATTTTTGCTTCGCGATCTTTTCGTTCAAATTGGATATCGAATTTTGTAACTCGGTTTTGTCCGCGGTCTTGTCTAGTTCTGCTAGCAATTCGCCAAGTTTTCTTTCCAAAGCGGTTAGTTTTCGTTTCAATCTATCCTCGTTTACATTTGGGTTGTCTATTAAACGTTGGACGTCTATTTTTACCTTCGTAATCTTATCGTCTAATTTGGATATTAAATTTTGCAACTGACTTGTTTTATCCACTTGAATAAGACGTTTCAAACTCGTTAACTTTTGTTGTAGTTTGGGTTCGTCCACAAGATTTTTAATATTTCGTCTGATGAATCTTTTCACGTCATTTATTCTATTTTCAACATGGTCCTTATCTATTTGAATTGCGTTTATTTGATCCAGTAAATATTTCTTGTTCACGGCATCGTTATCGTTTCCTGGAAACTTTAAATTAGTTATTTTGAAATTGTTCATATCGATATCCCCTTGTAAGGTGTCTCCGATTTGATCCACGAAAAAAGGTTTCGCTTTGTTTATAAACGCCGTAGAACTCATGGGATTTTTAGATTCTAGAGGTAAAGACCCTAATCCAAACTTGTTTGCCATTTTTATTGAGTTAAATTTATTATAATTTCTTCCAACTTTTCTCCCAAACTCAACCGATATAAAACCCAAAGCGACAGTTGTCCACACAGCTTTTGTCCTGGCATGTGAATTTGAAACGTAGAACATTTGATTGGTTTTCTAGTCAATTTCGTTATCTCTTCTGTCGGTTCTAGACCGAAAGAATCAAAGAAATAAAAGTTATTCGAAGAATCTTTGTGTAAAGCAGAGTGATGAACTCCTTTTTGATCCGAAGTATGAATGTTTGTGATGGCGTAAAATTTACCTTTTTTGTATTTCAGTTCATCAATTTCATCTCGCATGCAATAATAAAACGGCGAGACGTTCAATTCCTTGGCCCATTTCACAAGTTGAAAATTTGTGGTCGTGTCTTTTCCGTATTTATCGAGAAATGCATTCATTTTTTAAGTCGATTTTTTTAGGTGTTTTTCGAAGTAGGCGGAAAGTATTGCTGAAGACCCAATTGACGAAATATATACGTAGTTTGTGTTTGAAAAAACTTGTATAACATTCTGATAAAACACATTCAGTAATATTTTGAAGATAAATTTACATTTAAATTTAAAAAATCTTATAAGAGAGCGTAAATGCTTGTCGACATCTAGATTTCTTAACCTTTCATCTAAATCTTCATTTTCGAGATTCATTTTTAAAAGTCAGTTTTTTGAAGTTCATTTTGATAAAACCTTCCTATGATTTGTTCTTTGTCTTGATCGATCAATTCATACGTGGGAGGTGATGTGTTGTTTACTTTATCAACGATGAATATCTCGTTAGTCCAATAGCCGACGTAACCTTTCTGAAACAATGATTTATATTTAAAAATACGAACTCGATCTCCAACTTTGAATTTGGATTTAATATTCAAATTGCTAATCTCGTTTTCAAAGTTGTTTCGAGTGTTGACGGACTTTATGATATTCGGGTTATTAGAGGATTGGGATGGCGTCACACCTATAGACGAATGTATTTTGTTATTGTATTCGTCGACAACAACTGGTAATATTTTAAGCCATTTTTGAGATTTCAATTCCGTGAATTTCTTGAATAATTTGCTTTTAAGAGTCCTGTTGAATCTTTCTAGCACTACGGCTTTACCTTCGTTATGCGTGCTGTAAATTTCAAACCCCAGAGATTTCACATTCCTTGGTTTCACATGGGCTTCCTTTATCAACCCACAACTTTAGGGGTCGTCTGTCGGATTGTTTCATTATGGTTTCGAATGCTTGTTTGACAGTCAGACCCGATTTGTTTTTCAAGGGAAAGACCCAAGCGTATCTCGTGTATATGTCGATCACCGTCAAACAATACTTGTACCCTCTCTCGACTGGCATGTTGATTAAATCGGCTGACCAAATTTCATCTTTATCAAAAACTTTGACTTTGAGGTAATGTTTGTTTTTTCGAAATTCTTTGTGAATCAGTAGTTCCTTGTAACTAAAAAAATGTATTTTTTTCTCTAATTGTTTTTAATTGGGTTTTCAGTGGTTTTCCTTGGGGTGCAAACAGTAGGAAAAGTCCAAAACATGGGCCAAATCGGTTTATTTGTCAAAGTAAGGTATAGGGCGTTTTCAGTCTATATGGCCTAAAAGAGCAGAATATCGGCAACTTTTCCTGAGCTAACTTTTTCCCTATGGGAGATTTTCCAGTTCTGTCTTTTTGCAGATGTCTAGGTGGCCCACGTGCACATGTGTGCAAAATTTCAGCTTTGTAGCTTTGTAACTTTGCAAGATAAAAATTTATTTGTGTATAAGCACATTTGGTACAGTAGTTCCTTGTAACTAAAAAAAATGTATTTTTTTCTCTAATTGTTTTTAATTGGGTTTTAAGTGTTTTTCCGGGCCCCTGGGGTGCAAACAGTAGGAAAAGTCTAAAACATGGGCCAAATCGGTATATTTGGCAAAGTTAGGTATTGGACGTTTTCAGTCTATATGGCCTAAAAGAGCAGAATATCGGCAACTTTTCCTGAGCTAACTTTTTCCCTATGGGAGATTTTTCAGTTCTGTTTTTTGCAAATGTCTAGGTGGCTCACGTGCACATGTGTGTTAAAATTTTAGCTTTGTAGCTTTGTAACTTTGCAAGATAAAAATTTATTTGTGTATAAGCACATTCCGTGCAGTAGTTCCTTGTAACTAAAAAAATGTAATTTTTTCTTTAATTGTTTTTAATTGGGTTTTAAGTGTTTTTCCGGGCCCTTGGGGTGCAAACAGTTGGAAAAGTCCAAAACATGGGCCAAATCGGTTTATTTGGCAAAGTTAGGTATTGGACGTTTTCAGTCTATATGGCCTAAAAGAGCAGAATATTGGCAACTTTTACTGAGCTAACTTTTTCCCTATGGGAGATTTTTCAGTTCTATTTTTTTTTGTAAATGTCTAGGTGGCCCACGTGCACATGTGTGCAAAATTTCAGCTTTGTAGCTTTGTAACTTTGTAAGATAAAAATTTATTTGTGTATAAGCACATTTCGTGCAGTAGTTCCTTGTAACTAAAAAAATGTATTTTTTTCTCTAATTGTTTTTTATTGGGTTTTAAGTGTTTTTCCGGGCCCTTGGGGTGCAAACTGTAGTAAAAGTCCAAAACATGGGCCAAATCGGTTTATTTGGCAACGTAAGGTATTGGACGTTTTCAGTCAATATGGACTAAAAGAGTAGTACTAGAGCTTTCAATTAGGTCGCATAAAAAGGGATTTCCCCATTCCATTTCATTTCATGGGGAAAATGCGACCTAAATTGAAAGCTCCCATAACATAAAGACCTAAATTCCCTACATTTCATAAATTCTTACACCTAAATTCCCTATATTTCATAAATTCTTACAGCCCTACATTTCATACACTAAAAACACCTTCAATCAATTTCCTACATTCCATCAAAAAAAGCAAATTAAAAATAACCTTATATAAAATAACATCTGGTTTTAAAATAATGTAGATGGGAGATAACTCTTTTTGGATAAAAAAAACAGACTAAATTAACTCATTTAAAAATAGGATGAGTTTAATTCTAAAACACAACAACACAGATTCGAAGATTATTCGGGCGACGGTATCTTTTCTTCATTATTTTCTCTAGGTAAAACAATAATTCCAAAAGTAGCTAGCTTTGTTTCAAAAAATAAATCACTCATTTCAAGCGGAGCGAAAGCCATCGGCTCAATCGCTGAAGCTGGAAAGAGTATGCGATACAGTGAAACAATCTAACGAGTTGAAAGAATTAGAACTAATAAGAGAACTTCGAAACAGGAGATTAGAAGAAAGGAAAGGAAAAGGTTTTAAAGTTATAGGATAAAAATGATAGTCGCTCACGCTCCAAAAACTTATTTCGGTTCAGGAGATATACAAAAATCATTGGGTTCTCTTCCTGGATTTCCATGGGCGAAATATCCCGGAGAAAAACATCTCCCAGGGCACAATTATACAGGTCCAGGTACAAGGTTAGATCTGCGATTAGACGAAAACAATAAACCCAAACCAGGCGAAGAACCAGTCAATAGAGTTGACGCCGCTGCGCTTAAACATGATATTTTATACAGAAACAAAGACATAACATCCAGACACGAAGCAGACAAACAAATGATTATTGAACTCGAAAATATTCCAAATCCAACTTTCAAAGAGAGAATGGAAAGAGCATTAATCATTAAACTGTTAAAAACAAAGATGAAATTAGGTATGGGATTGGCGGATGAAATTCATAAAGAATTTAGAAAAACTAAAAACTTTTTAAAAGTTAAAGTGTTTGAAAAAGATGAAATATGGTCAGCCGATTTAATTCATATGCCAGTCGAAAGAGGATTTAAATATTGCTTAACAGTTATAGATTTGTATACGAAATATACTTGGGTTATTCCTCTCAAAAACAAAACGGGATTATCAGTCAAACACTCATTTGAAACGATTATGAAACAATCTAACCGTCATCCAGAAAAACTGTGGGTAGATAAAGGAAGTGAATTTTATAACAAAAATATGAAATCTCTGGGATTTGAAATTTACAGTACGCATAACGAAGGTAAAGATGTAGTTATTGAAAGATTTAACAGGACTCTAAAAAATAAATTATTCAAAAAGTTCACGGAATTGAAATCCCAAAAATGGCTTAAAATATTACAAGTTGTTGTCGACGAATACAATAACAAAATTCATTCATCTATAGGTGTCACACCAACACAAGCCTCAACTAATCCAAATATTATAAAGTCAATTAACGCGCAACATAACTACGAAAATGAAATAAAGAATTTAAATATCAAACCCAAATTTAAAGTCGGAGATCGAGTTCGTATTTTCAAATATAAAAGTAAATTCGAAAAAGGTTACTTTGGATACTGGACGAACGAAATATTCATCGTTGATAAAGTAAACACCACATCACCTCCGACATATGAATTAATCGATCAAGACAAAGAACAAATCATAGGTAGGTTTTATCAAAATGAACTTCAAAAAACCGACTTATACTGATAGAGGATTAAGAGATGTAGACAAGCATTTACGCTTTAAATTTTTTAAATTTAAATGCAAATTTATGTTCAAAATATTATTGAATGTGTTTTATCAGAATGTAATACAATTTTTTTTCAAACACAAACTACGTATATATTTAAAAAAACCCGACTTTTAAAAATGAATGAATTTCTCGATAAATATGGAACCGATACAACCACAAACTATAATAAATAAAGCGAAACCTTACTTCCTGGATCAAATCGGTGACACTCTTCAAGGTGATTTAGATATGAACAATTTTAGCATAACTAATTTAAAGTCTCCGGACAACGGTAATGATGCCATTCACAAGAAATATTTAATGGAACAATTAAATTTAATTGAAGTAAATAAAGAACATTTAAAAGAAAGAATAAGCGATGTGAAAAGATTCTTCAAACGTCAACTAAATAATAAAGATTTTATTGATGATACTAAATTACAACAAGTAACAAGTTTAAAAAATTTTATTCAACAACAATTAGTCAATGTAGTAGATAAAACTCAATTACAAAATTTAAGTTCATTAATATCTAATTTAGATGATAAGATTACAAAGCAAAAAATAGATCTTAAACAACTAATAGATAATATTAATCCAGGTATAAATGAAGATAAATTGCAACGGGAATTAACTAAATTTAAAACTGAATTACAAAAAGAACTAACAAATATTCAACAACAAATACAAAACATAGACGAAATCAAAACCTATATTCAACAACAAATACAGAACATTGATGATAGTGTTATTCAACAACAGATAACCACTATCAATAACCTAGTTTTAAAACAGGATAAAAATATACTCGCATTAGAAAAAAAGTTTCTCAAGAAAGAATCATATTATTTCAAACTTCCATTTGGAAGTTTGAGAGATTTCGATGCTTCTATAACTGATAATATTGATAAATCAAAAGACTATGAATATAAAAAATTTGGATTTACAGCAAATATAAGAGTATATTCTCTTTCAGGTGCTATTAAATACCCCCAAAAAATTTTTGATTTAAATTATTTTAATATGGATACTTATACTTTTAAAGGAAAACTTATAATTGAAATTAATTTTCCCATCCAGGTAAAAGTTAATACATTAATCTTCACACAAAACGCATATTTTTTTAATAAAAAATTTAACGCTCTTAAAGTTCTTCAGTTTATCAATGGTACAAAAAATGTAGAAACTAAAGAATTAGAAATTAAGGATGAAAACAGCAAGAGTGAACGCTTATATGAAATTAAAACGAGTGGAAAATATATAGATAGGTTTAGAATGTTAATCATACCAGATAAAGAAAATAAAAGTGTTCTTGGTTTGAGTGATTTTGATATGATATTGGAAACGGAAAATCCACCATCAATGAATATTATTAGAAATCCAGAACCAGAAAAAAAAGATGTAATCGGTTATGAGTTTTTACGAGCAACAGACTTTGAATACGTAAAACTATATTTTGTTGATGATAATGGTAAATTTAGCTCAATTGATATTCATAAAAGTCAAGATAATATAGTTTTTATAATACCAACAATAAGAGATGTTGTATATGTTTATATAATAATCTTTATTGAAAAACCAAAATTTTCAGTTCATCTGAATAAGATTAATGATTCGAAAGAACAAATATCGTTAGTAACTGTAAAAGTTTTTATTGAAGATAGTAAATACAAAGTATTTTTATCAGAAATTCACTTAATTTAATTACCTAAAAATGGAACTCGAAAGTAGACAAAACTATATGATAGAAAAACAAAATGAACTAAAAGAAAAACTAAAACAATTCAACAAATGTAGAAAAACATGGAGTAAAATCGATTCTGTTTTCAAAACATTAAGTACAGTTTTAACAATAGGGATAACGGTGGCAACAGCCGTAACCGGTGGATTAATGCTTCCAATCATCGTCCCAACAGTATTAGCCGCGTTCACTGCCGTTCAAACTTCATCTTGTGGTTTGATTACTTTAGGTTTTACATCAAAACAGAAAGCTTATTATAAAAGGAAAACAAACATTTTAAATACATATCTTAATAAATTATTCATTTTTTTCGAAAGATCGAGAGAGGATAAGAACATAACCATTGAAGAATTAGAAGAATTCAATGAAATTTTAGATAAATTTGATGTAGAAATATCAATAAAAGTTAAAATTACTAGTTAAAAATAAACTAGTGTCCAAAAGAAACGATACCACCTGTTTGCAACGACATAAAAGAAAAACTAAACAATGCAGAAGTTTAGGATTGGTGTTATGCTTTTGAGAAATCCTTTCACAACATCTGTACAAAAATTTCATTTCAATAAAATCTGTACAACCAATATGACAAGTCTTTAAAGATGGGTGGGGACGAAAAAAGAACATTTCGTTAGAGAACTGATCACAGAAACAACGGGAAATGTCACACCACACGTCACAAAGTCAAGTCAGTAGTGGGTATGTCCACCGTGAGCATCATTACATGCCAGAACACGCCTACGGACTGATGCCGTCAAACGTCTGATGACGTTGGGAGTGATGCGTTGCCATTCCTCGAGGGGACATCGTTCCAAGTCCTGGACGTTGACTGGAGGCACACGGCGACGTCGGATTTGCCGATCGAGGTGGCCCCATAAGTGCTCGATGGGATTCATGTCCGGTGAACATGCGGGCCATGGCAAAACCTGTACGTTGGCGTTGGCAAGGAAGTTCTGTGTCAATCTTGCTGTGTGTGGACTTGCATTGTCATGTTGGAAAAAGAGTCCACGAGGCTGTTGCTGAATAAAGGGCACCACAACAGGCCGTAGAATGTCATCAATATAACGCTGTGCATTCAGGTTTCCACGAATTACGACAAGCCTCGTTTTGACGTCACCACATATGCCACCCCAAACCATTAACCCTCCACCTCCAAACGGCCGGACCTGTTGGATACAGTTAGGCGCCAAACGTTCACCAAATCGTCGGTATACAAGCTGCCGTCCATCGTTTTTGAAGATGAGGAATCTGCTCTCATCAGAGAACATAACATGTGCCCAGTCCCGCCGTTGCCAACGTCGAACTCGCCTGGCCCAGATCAGTCTGTTGTTCCGGTGTCGAGGCGTCAGGAGCGGTCCGCGGTAGGGATGACGTGGCCGGATACCATACTGCCGTAGTCTCCTGTAGACGGTCTGTCGACTGATCCTGTTTCCCAGTGCTGTAGCCGCCGTGGACGTCGCTGTTACGGTGCGGTTCCTCAGGTGTAATACCCGGATGTAACGATCTTCACGGGGCGTGGTTACTCGTGGTCTTCCACTCCTGGGCCTGTCTGACGTCTGACCTGTCTGACGTAACCGCTGCATCAACCTGGTGATAGTGATGCGTGCGCAGCCCAATCTTCTGGCAAACGTCGACGTGTGTCGGTCCTTGTTGGACCATTCCAACGGCTCTCTCTCTCTCGATGGCTGTCAAACAGGGCATATCTTGTGTTTTTTTTGTTGCTGTGATATCAACGTGTCTGATCAGCCGTTTTATACAGTTTTTATGCACGTGCAGAACATGCTAGATAGGGAAATGTCACTTTCACGAAATTTACGTTTTTTCCCGGAAGTGATCACGTGTTCCCGGTATTTTTATCGACTATGCTGTGTTTGGGATGTGCAATACGAATTGGCATGTTTTCATATTAGACAATTCACTTAGTAAAAAACAATTTTGAAAATAAGTTGGTATCGTTTCTTTTGGACACTAGTTTAGTTGCTTTAAAAATAGTTGCTTTAAAAATAGTTGCTTTAAAAATATGAATAAATTTATATCACATGATCTTTTTTCCAATGTTATTGAGCATATCTCTGACGAATTTTTATCATTTAACGGACAAATTGAATTAGATGGAAAGATAACTCAAGATAGAAAATACATACAAGACATAAAATTTGTAGGTTTTGATACCATGACTTTTGTCGATTTCTTCCTTGCGCTGGATAAAAAATCGAATTCCTCCGATGCGTATTTCACAGGAAAAATGATTTTCCATAAAAAGCCTTGTGGTGATCAAAGCTCATTATAATTTTTTTTTTTTCGAAAAATTCCTAGTTAAAAATAGTTGCTTTAAAAATATGAATAAAATTGAAATTGTAGACGATAAAAAATTCATACCAGTGAAAATTTTAGACGACAAGATTATCTCTGATGAATTAAAAAATATGGATGAATTCATATCAAATAAACTTTTTTCCGATGTTATTCACCTTATCTCTAATGAATTTGTAACATTTAAAGGACAAATTGAAATAGTTGGAGAGATAACTCAAAATGGAAAATACAAACAAGACATGAAATTTGTAGGTTTTAATACCAAAATTTTGTCAATTTCTTCGCTACAGTGGATGAAAAATCAGATGCCACCGATTGGTATTTCACAGGAAAAATCATTTTCCGTAAAAACAATTTCAAAGAAATAAAAAGATCAAAAAATGGTAGTGGTGTTAGCCTACTCAAAAAGATAAAAGAATATATCGGTATAAATTGTTATATACCGAGTGATGGATGCTGCTTTGTAAAATGCGTAAATTATGTTTTGAACAAAGACTACACGAGAGAATTTCAAGATTTCATCAACAGTTTTCAAAAATCAAATAGAAAAGGAGTTATGACATCTGCTAGAATCTGCGAATTCAATAAGAAATTTAATACTAATTTTCAAATATATATGCCCGAACATAGACATTTTCAACCAAAGAAAGTATTAGAGGAATTTGATTGGGTATTTTATTTACACAAAGAACATTTCTGTTTGATAAGAAGAAATAACAAAGCTTTGGGCATTAAAGAAATAGAAGATAATTACGATGAAAACGTATGGAGAACTTGTGGAGATGATAGTGCGGTAACGTAAGTTTCACTTCTAAAACTAAACGTTTTTCCAACCATTCCCGATCATTGTTTATACGCATGGGATTGCGAAACCTATTGCGAAAAAGAAACGAATAAAGCCATTCCTTATTGTTGTACTTTAGTCAATTTGGAAAAACTGAGGAAAAGATTAGATGATTATAGTAAGAACTTACGTGAGACTCTAGATTTTAAGCCATTTCAGAAGAATATTACAACAACCTCATGACTAATATAGTAGAAATATTTGTAGGTACAGATTGTATAGATCAAATGTTACAACGTTTAGGAAAAGTAGATGAGAAAAGACTAACCTTAATTTCCCATAACGGCAGTGGTTTTGATAACTGGATCATGATCAAAAACGTAAAAAAACTAACACAATGCCCTTTAAAAACAGCTAGAGGAATTCTGTCTCTACCTTTAACTAATTCATTCACTGATGAATATTTACAGAAAAAATGGAAAAGACAGAAAGAAATAAAGGGTAACTCTAAATATATATATTAATTTCACATGTTCCTATCAACACGAATCATCTAGTTCGGCAGCATGGGGAAAATCATCTAATCTACCAATGAATTTGAGAAAGATCGAGGATGTTAATATTGCAAAATACACTAAAGATAATTGGGAATCTTTAGGACCCGAATGGGAACCTTACGCTAAAAGAGATACGTTATGTCTCGGAGCTTGTTTGATAAAATACAATCAAGCCATGAAAAAAACTGTCTTCCAAAACGTTTCCAATAATCTAACGGCTCCTTCTTTATCTTTAAAGGGTTGGTATTATTTATATCATTACGATAAAGAAATGGTTGAAGAAGAATGGTATGAAAGTACTAGAATGGTTCCGAAACATACGGAAAAACAAAACGTAGAAAAAGTTTACTCGCATACTCACCCTTTTATAAGATATTCTATCAGACAAAGTATTAAAGGAGGAAGAGTTTCGGCAAATCGAAAATCATTTGAAACGAATAAAATTGATGAGATCTGCGCCATATTAAAAGAATACAATGAAAGTAACACTGAAGGAATAATAGATTTATTCAAAGAATACAGTGTTAACCCAAAAGATAAAACGGAAGTTCACGCTAAACTCAAAGAACTGAACTATTCTAAACTAATGACATTTGACGCTAATGGGTTGTACGCTTCAGCCATGACAGAAGGTGAATATCCTAAAGCGGAAAGTGCAAGAGCGTTTCTACCAGAAGAAGAAAAAGAATTTGTAAAACTCTTCAATAAACAAAAATTCAGACCTAGAACTGCTATTTTAAAAGTTTGGTTTGAATATCCCAAAAAAATGTTCTTTCAACCCATACCAGCTAAAGATAAAATAACTTTTACGAATAGAGTAGGTCAGAAGGAAACTGGCACTAAAATCAGGTTCAGAAATGGTTTCTGTCACGACGTTTTAACATCAATTGATATTCAAGAAATAGTGAAATCCGGTGGTAAAATTATTAAAATATTAGATGGTATAGTTTACGAAGAAAATTTTAAAACTCCACCATACAGAGATTATATTTTAATTTTGAAGGAATTAAGGAATAAATACAAAAAAGAAGGAGATATGGTTGCTAGTAATTGCATGAAATTATTAGGTAATTCCTTATACGGTAAATCTATTCAAAAGGATATAAATACATCGAGACATCTAAAGCCAACTTCGATTCACACGTCAAAAGCTATGAAAAAGTAAATGATAGTCAATATATAGTTGAGATGAATGAAGAAGAAAAAGAGTTTGTTCCTCCAAAGGATTTTACTAGATTAACACCCACTCATTTAGGTGCATGTATATTATCTCACAGTAAAAAAAACTAATGAACAATTTCATTCACGTCATAGATGGATTTTATAAGCCTGAAATATACTATACAGACACCGATAGTTTACACATTTCGTCTAGTAATTGGGATAAATTAAATGAAGCTGGGTTGGTGTCTGAAAACGAATATAGCAAAGGGAAGAATGATTACGGTGATGGTGGAATCATATTTGGTTTTATATTTAGCGCGAAAAGTAAAATACAATATCATTCTAACTTCCGATGGTGTTTTAAAAGAAAAGAAAACGTTTAAGGGTTACTCTAACTATAAGATTAAGGTAGAAGACTACATTCAATTAGCTAGTGGACATGACGTAACGAATGAATTTAAGAAACCTTGGGTAAAAAGTTTCACCAATGGAGTAGTTATTCCTAATGAAAAACAAAAGAAAGTTTTTAGAAGTTATCTAAATCTCGTTAAGAGAAAAGCACCAAACAGTGAAGGAATCATGTATCCTTACAACAATAAAGATGAGATGTGTTTGGATGAAAACTATGAATTTGATGATTTCGATTATCTAACTATTCAAGAAGAGAATGAAGAGTGTTCATTTTTTTTGTTTTAAATGAAGTTGAATAACAATTTCCTCGTTACCGATCTATAAACTTATTTTTACCATCTTTGATTTATATCTTTAATCATAAAGGAATTAAGTGGTAAATACGTCGTTTGAAATGGTTTCTCTATAATTCTATATCCAATAGGAACAGTGAATGTTGGAAGACTGTAAATAATCTGACGTTTGTATTTATTGAAAAATCCACCGTTTATTAAATTGCAATGTATATTTATCACATCGATATCATTCTCGATATTAGCTTTGTGTGGTGCTAAAGTGGATTGGGTGTATATTTTTTTATCAAATCCTAGTAACGTATTCAATGAATTTTCTACGTTGAAATCAACTTGACTATTATTTCTTAATATCAATTTTATTTTGTTTAGATTCAAATTACCTTCGAATTCGATATTGTTTCTACCATTGATGCTTCCTGCGTATTCAGATAAGTATTCGTTAATGGCTATGTATTCGTAGCTTCCTGGTAGTAAACGTATGGTTTTGAATGTAACTCCATTATCTGTCGATATTTTTATTTGATTATTTTTTTCGTTGATATTTCTAATGGAATTGTAAACAGAGAAATACTTTAATCCCAATTCATATTCTTGATTGCGATCGAGTTCGTACTCATAATCTAGAGACAATTTAATGTCTGATTTATTCGAGGTGATGACGAATAGTTGTTCTTTATTTGACATTTTTTAATGACTATTTTCAATCACGCTTTTATAATCATTTTCATCTATGATACCTTTCTCTAGGAGTCTTTTTAATATACAATTCACTTCATTAAATTGTCTGTTTGATCGATGTCCTTCTTTAATTGCCGCTAATATTACTCGTAATCTATTAAGCAATTCTTCGTTGTTGTCGGATAAAAACGTTATACCTTGTCCACTTTTTTCTCTAGCTATTAGGTCTTTGAATTCGTCTATTTCTTGTATGATTGGTGGTTAATCTTCTGCATAATCATCTGATTCCTCATCATCACGTTCAATTACTCTTTTATATAGTTTAACTTCTTTTGATCTTCTTGTTTCGGGTCCTGATTTTCTTATTGCATCTAAAAATTTGGAGTATGCTACTAAATCCTTATAATCGGCAATACCAACATCCTCGCCATTCATTAAATCTATTAATCCTTTCGTTAATGTGTATATATAATCTTTTGTGTCGATTTTGAATTGTGGTGAATTTCCACTAAATATAATTCTAAATCCATTAAACAATAAACCTTGATTATCAATGATTGGTGAAATGCTCTTGGGTAAATCTGGGTCAGGGTTTGAAAAAAGACGATTTATATCATCTAATGTCCTAATTATAACACCACTATATTCAATCGCTTTGGGAGGTGTAGGTTCTATAGGAGGTTTATATTCTAATTTCCTTTTAATATCCCCTTGAGATTTTAATATGGGTTGAAATAGAGTTTGTAGATTTTCCGTTAATCCGAGTTGTTGTAATCTGTTATTTTCAACTTGGGTCTTTATTTTATTCTTAGCTTTGATATATTCTCTATTTCTTTTCAAAATATTATTCCAATCCATTTTTTAAAAAAATAAAATTAACATATATCGTTCATAACTCTTTCACCCGCAGGTTTTCTAGTATTTACAAATACATATCCATGATCATTTGGATATCTCCATTGAGCTTTACAAACCTTTTTAAATGCATCTGTGTCCATTCCGTGATTTATCGATTGAACGATTTGAGATAAATCTTTGTCGTTTAATTCAAATAATAAAAAACAATTTGCATTTTTTCTTATGAACATAGAATCCATCCCGTAAAAAGATTGGGATTGGTATATGCAGTGACAGTTGTGATGTCTTCCTTTCGTGAAGAATTCTTGTTGAACGGCTTGATTTCTTTGTGCTACACAGTCGTCAAACAATATTAAGTTCTTTCGCTCGCTATCAATTTGAGACAAATCTAGATCATTAACATTTTTCGTAAGAAAAACTTTTATATCCGTTGGTTTCTTTCCTTCGATGTAGTTATCTATGAAATCTTTTAATTCCACTTTTTCTTCGTTTTCTTTGTAATCTCTCTTTGGTAGATATTCTAAAGTTTTGAGAAATTGATAATACGATTGCTCTGGTGTTGTTGTGTAGATATACAAAGAATCGAAATCTAAAAGGTTTGGTGTTGTCAACATATTAAAAGTGAGATGAGTTTTCCCAGAACCGGAACTACCGCATATACACATGAGCATTGGGTTATTAGGAAATATTTCTGAATGATTAAATTTTTTACCCATTTTTTATTATTTTAATTTGTTCCAAAAATAACTCCTTCTCCGTTATACTTCGAAAGATATATTCCTTCTCCAGTGCGTATATTTTTTAAAAATATTCCATTACCCTTATGTTTGACTTTGATTTCTCCTGTGTCAATACTATCTACTAATTTATTTAATCCTTGTTTGACAGTTTTCTCGGTTTCTTCACTAAATCTTTTTCCAAATTCTTTCATTGTGCCTATCATTTCTCCCACTCCTGAACCTTCGGCCAACTTTTCCATTTTTAAATTATGTCTATGTTCTTCGATTGCTTTCTTTTCATCGGCAGCAGCTTTTGCAATAGCAGCTTTCTTATCGTTGGCAGCTTTTACTCGACCAGCTGCAGCACCAGCTATTGTACCGGCTGCAATAAGTCCACTAAATATTAAAGGTAGGGAAAATATAAATCCACCTTCTTTTGCGTTCGCGTCAATTCTTTCTAAATCTATATCGTCTCTGACTTTACAGTATTTGTATTTATCAATAAGTTTTTTAGTTATGCTGATTTTTTTACCATTATAAGTTATTGTAGTTGGTGAAGCTGTTTCAATAGCTTCTATTATTTTCTTGACTAAAGTTTCTGGTTTCATTTTTAAGGGTATATTTTTACTCAATTCTTATCATTCTTCTATCTGCTATTTTAATTAAATGTTTTGCTTCTTCCAATAATAAACAATAACCTGTTACATCTCCTTGTGTTTTTTCAATATGAATACTTATGTTCACTCCTGTTTTGAAAAGATTTTCTTGGTGAGCTGAAAGATCAAAACAGAAGATTGGATGATTAAGTGCAAAATCTACATATTCAAACTGAGGTAGATTTCCGAATAATTCACACATATTTTTATAGTTTCTATACAATTCATTATAATCCTTTGTGGTTGGATTAATTGTTAAAGGTTGGTTAGGATAATTATCGTTGTTCAATCTTACTTGAACTTTATGGATTAAAGGATCTTGAGTTTGGTTCATTGCCACTCTAAAGACATTATTGTTATTCGTTTGAGAATCTGGTAAGTTCTTGAAACCAACTATTAAATATCTTGCTGGTTTAATAGTGTTAGTGATTGGCCATGTGGTGGATTCTCCAGTTAAAGTCATGCTACCTACAGTGTTACGATGAAGAAAAGCTATTTCAATATCTTTAGTTAACGAGTTGAATATATTGCGTTTCTACTTCAATTGATGGTGTTATTACGGGTATTAAAAGTTGGAGATTCGTTATTTCTAATTTTGCATCTGAACCATTCTCTCCAAAGAATATCTTATCGTCGTTGATTTCTCTTTGTAGATGACTTTTATATGGTAAGCCTATGGAAACTTTTCTATGTTCCAACAGACCGTATTAAAGGATATAATTTCCAATTTACGTAATTACCCCACCTATTATTCTCAACAACATTATTATACTGAAGTACTCGTTTTTCGAATCCATGATTAACTGCTCGTCCTACTCTTTCTATCGTGTTTCGAGCAACAACTCTCACTCTAGCTAAATCGGCATCATTTGCAAGATTTCTTACCGGTTCTTTTAAAATACTTCCATCACCAACATCGGGTATCCAGCCTGAAACTGAATCGAAATCTTTAGGATATAAAACTGTTTTCAACATTGTGTCGAATTCCCCAGGATGTTTGATTGTTTCTATCGGATTTGAACCAGCTTCCAAAACCATCTCGCTAAATAAAGATGGAAAGAAATTGTTTTCTAACGTTGTATTTGTTTGTGGAACTTGATTCTGAGTGGCTTCTTTGATTTTGAAATCACATCTGAAATAAGCATCGGAAAGAAGCAACCAATTCGATAATGAATTTATTTCGAACGTAATTCTACCACCATCATTCAATTGAGATTTAGAACCAACAGTGGGTGAGATGATAATATAATCCTCTTTTTTCTTGTTAAATGAATAACGAATTGGATCGTATAATCTAAAGATTGGATCTAGTCTTTTATTTGACATTTTTAAGGTTTAAAATTTGCTTTTTTTGATGGAATGTAGGAAATTGATTGAAGGTGTTTTTGGTGTATGAAATGTAGGGCTGTAAGAATTTATGAAATATAGGGAATTTAGGTGTAAGAATTTATAAAATGTAGGGAATTTAGGTCTTTTATGTTATGGGAGCTTTCAATTTAGGTCGCATTTTCCCCATG